GTCCCCATGACCCTCCCCTATGGCCCACAACCTCTGGTATAACCAGCCCTATCCAGGGCACAACCTACTGTGGGTAAGAAGATGAGAAGGAAGCTAACTTCTCATCTTCCCACAGTGGCCACAATATCAGGCAAACTTCCAGGGATACCCAGAAGTCACATGAGGGGTGGGAACTGGGCCCAGAACATGCAGCATGCAGAGCATGCGCACATGCAGGAAGCGCAGTGGGCAGATGCAGGTCTGGATGTGGGTCCAGGTCCAGGCTAGTCAGGGTGTGTGCCCTGACAGGTCCGTAGTAATGTTGGGTAGGTAGAAATATTAATAAACTTCTATGATGAGGATAAGGGGTACTGGAGAAGGTACCAGAGATCGAAGGCAGAGGTGGACCAGAAGTATACTGGAGGATATGGCAGAGGTGAGGGAGAGGACAAACCAGAGGTGAACTGGAACAGTGGCGGAGTGTCAGGGCACACCAGCCTGACCCCACTCCACCTGGTCCAGCCCCACCCAATCCCACTACCCTCACCTGGTGCCCCTGCCCTCCTTCCTCCCTTCTTTCCTACATGGACAACTTTCCTTGCATTGATGGACCATTAACCCAGCTGCGCAACATGCCCAGACCCAGACATACCAGGTGATGCCCTACACATTGGGCACTCCTTGGATCTCTTACAGAGATACCTGGGTGGATACGGCTGTTGAAATAACCACCTCAGCCTAACAGGGCATATGGTGTAATGGCTGTGCACACTGAGTTTGCGATCCAGAAGACTGGAGTTCAATTCCCAGTATGTCCAACTTTTAGGTTTCCCTAAAAGACCATGTGCAAATTCCAACAACGGCTGTGTGCATAGATGATGTGGCACCCCCCACATGACCCTCAACTGCATGTACATAAACACAGCCTAAGTGGGAACTGAGAAGTAACCTTCTTCTCACACTTCCCACTTTAGGCAAGTAGCTTACCTCTTTCTCTGTTAATAATAATTCACACTTCCCACTTTAGTCTAAGTGGCCAGGGACACCCTTTTGTGCTGGGCCTGTTTGTTATAGAGATGGACTAGATTCTTATGGTCCGTGACTGCAAGTAGGTAGGTTGTCTCTGCCCTCCATTATATTTCTCTGTCAAACTCCATGCCAAGCTTTCCCACTGGGTTTTGGTGCTGGCTGGGGGAATTGTTAAGTTTCAAGGGACTTCCCTTGACCATTGAGACTTTGATATTAGATAGAAACCAGTCATATGACATGTAAAGGCAAATGCCGAGGATGTTGTTCATTATCGAATACATAACCCTAAAACCTTGTACCGCAATTGTAACATCCTCACCATTGTGCCACCACTGTAAACTCAACCTGTAACCCTGGAACCATGTCCACCTCCCTATTCCTCCTCTCTATGACAAAACCGCAACGAGGTGGGCATTCCCATGCCCAACCTCCTGCTGCCCACTCCCACCAGTCCACCGGGTGGTCGAGTGGTTACTCCCATCCAACCAGAAGTTCCCTATCAGGAACAGTAACCTATCCCACCTCCTCAGGAGAAGGATACGGTCCAGGCAGCTCCAGGATGCCTGGCCACGCACCCGCGGGTCCCACTTCCCACGGTCACCCACTACCGTGCACTGGTCCACCAGCCCGCTTTCCCCAACAACTCCCGCTACCGGTACGCTCCCATGAGCGCCAAGTCACCGATAGCCACCATCTGGGTGACTCCCTTTGGGAGTCCCAGTATCCCTCACTACCGGTATGCTCCATTGAGTGCCAAGTCACCGCTAGCCACACACTCCCAGCACACCCGCTACCGGCACGCTCCCAGGAGCGCCAAGTCCCCGTTAGCAGACAGCCAGGTGGCTCCCTCAAGGAGCCCACATCATACTCGCTACCGGTACGCTCCCAGGAGCGCCAAGTTACCGTTGGCCGACACACAGGTTACACTGCCAGACACTCATCCCATTCCGCTCTCCCTCCGATGGCTACGCAGCCACCTCCATTAGTGAGCCGAACGGCTCAGGTTGGGTTCCCTGGAACCCATTCCTGTAACATTGGTGCCCCAACCCTGGTCGCACCATCATCAAACTCAATCGTGCGACCTCGAGCTCACGCACAGGAGGATTACTCATCTAACTTAGGCACTGTCAACTCAGACTATCAGTATTCTACCATCCCACTGAAGCGTGCGCTAGACGAGTTTTCATCATCACAGAGATTCTATTATGAGCGCGCGCCTATGGACCTGCTATGTGAATGGCAGCGGTTGGGCCCAGACAACATAGAGGTTCAGTCATTCCGTCAACTGACTACAGGCTCCTCCACCTCCTACCGTCTCATTGACAAGCGCTGTCGACAGTTGATACTGATCCTTCAGGCGATGGATCGGTTCATCCAAACCACTTCCAGTTCCGATCTCATCCCCGCCATGCTTAAGGCAGACCCAGGACAGATCATCCATTCGACCTTGATCACATTGGGCTGGACCGAGTTAAGCACTCTACATCGAACTTGGAGCTATCTACAACGAAAACTAGCTGATTTCATTATACATTTCAAACGCGTTAAAGGGGTTCTTGCCCTCATACAGTCCCGAGCACCGGGATCCCACTTCGTTACAACCAGCCCCTCGCTGGCATCAGTACAGCCACGCAATCCCGAGGTCGTCGCAACCTCACCTGCTGCAGCGAAATCAGAATTGTCCCAACTGCGTCCATCCTCAGGGCCAGGTGGCACAGTCGCAGCCCATACATCAAGCTCAACGCATTCCAACAGCTCAATGCCCCAGCTACTTTGAATAGCTGATCCCGTGCGGCACTCCACCGAGCTAGCACGTCCATCAGAGCGTTGCCGTCCAGTCTTGGTTTCCGCATCAAGCACGACACCCTCCATCGGCCCAACCTGCCGCAAGGCTGAATCGTCGTTCTCATCTGCTCAGTCGGGTCAAACAGCTCCCCCTTTGCAGTGCCCACTCAAACCAGTACACCCATCTGAACAACATCGTTCAATTGAGGCGGGTTCTCCGAACACTAGCCTGATACATTGCATGGCTGAACCATCCTTACTCGTCCGATCAGACCAACTGGCTAGTTCATCGACTACCCTGTTGGATTGTCTGGCTGCACTTTCAGGGCACCCACCTAAGCTGGTGCGCTCGAACAAGCTGGACTGTTTAATTGCTACCGGCTCATCCATGGCAACATCCTCTGTCAGCTCGACGTATCATGCAGCCAAGACATTGCCATGGCCTGCCCAGTCATACCATCTGACTGATCCTCCACAACATTTGCTTGAGTCATCACGCACACAGGAGTTGCCCCGCCCAGACGTGTCATGTCTGACGAGTGCAGCACACCTTGATGTTTCGATACATCGCACAGCTGTGTCATCGCTTCCAACTGTACAGTCAGATCAGCTAGCAGCCTCGTTGCAGTGCTCACTTGAGCTTGCGCGTCTGTTCGTGCAATTTCATCCAGTTGTGGCTCGTTCATCAAGCGCAGGGCGCTTCGTTAGCCCAACTTGTCGCAAGGCCAAATCGTTGTCATCACCCGCTCAGTTGGATCGACTTGCTGCCTCCTCACAGCACTCATTTGGTCCAATGTCCCCATTCGGGCATTGTCTGGCTGCAGACCGTTCAACAAGTACCATGGGCTCTGTTGGTCCGTCGCGTCACGAGGTCGAGCTTTTGTCCTTGCCCATTCAGTCGAACCTCTCGACTGACCCTTCACAATGCCTGCCCGAGCTATCATGCTCACACGAGTTGTCCCATCTAATCGCACCCTATCCATCGAGCGCAAAGTACCTTGACGGCTTGACACAGCATGCGGTAGAGTCGACGCTCCCGACTATCCAGATGGACCGACTGTCTGCTCTCTCGCAGCACCCACTGGAGCCAACACTCCCACGAAAACCGATGTCCAAGCGCCTGACTGTCCAGCCAGTCCAACCGGTTGCTTCTTCGCAGCATTCACTGGAGCTGGCATGTCCGTCAGAGTGGCTTTGTCCAGCTGTGGTTCATTCAACAAGCACGACACACTTCGTTGGTCCAACCGACCATAAGGCCGAAACGTCGTCCTCATACACTCAGTTGGGTCGACCCGCTGCCCCTTTGCAGCACTCATTTCAGCCAGCATGCCCATTTGAACCCCTTCATTCGGTTCAGGCTGGTTCACCGAGCGCGACTCACTCCTTTAGTTTGACGTACTGCAAAGCTGAATCATCCTCTTTGCCTGTTCAATCAGATCAACCAGCTGGCCCATCGAAACTAGGTTTCCCTACTGATCGGCGTTCACCCGAGTTGACACATTCAGACGAGTTGCGTTGCTCTGTCGCGGCCTGTTTATCGAGTGTGGTGCAATCCACCAGTTCAACACGTCGCATAGCTGAATCGACGTTCCCGATTGTTCAGTCAGATTGTCTGGCTACTCCTTCGTATTACCCACGTGAGCTAGAGTGCCCGCATGAGCCAGACAGATCAGTTGCAACTAGCTCATTGACTATGATGCACACCACCGGGACGATACGTTACACAATCAAGCAGGCGTCAACATCCACCCAGGTAATCCGTCCAGCCGCTCCATCGGATTGTCCTCTCAAGCCAGAACGCTTGTGTGCACCGCACCACTCAGAGTTGGACTGCTTGGTGACACCTTCATGGTACCCCTTCAAGCTGGCACGCTCGAATGAGCCGGACGGCTCAATATCTGCCAAGTCATCGACTGCGATGTGTGTCGCTGGTTTGACATGTCATGTGGTCGAGTCATCATCCAAGTCCCCGACGGCCCAATCAGATGGCCCGGCTGCACCCTCATGGCGCCCACCGGATCCAGTGTGTTTGAATGAGCCAGATAGCTTAACTGCCACCCGCTCATCCATGGTGATGTTCCCTGGCAGCTTGATGTGTCTGTCGGCCAAGCCGACGTCATCGCTCGTCTGGTCAAACTCCCCCGCTGCTCCTGCACATCATCCTTCCAAGCCCTCGCGCTCGCCCGTACTGGATCGTTCAGGGGCAGTCCACGCATTGAGCATAGCGCACCACATCAGTTTGGCGGGTTGTGTAGTCAAATCAACGTTAATGGTCGCCCAGTCATATATTCCGTTCACCCCTTTGCGTCGTCCTCCCAAGCTAGTGTTTTCACATGAACTGCAACACTCACCCATGGCCTACTCACCATGCATGATGCATACCGACACTGTAGCGTGCCAGGTGATCGAGCTGACGCCCTCACAAGTACACTCAATGGTGGTCCGCCTGTTGACCATAGCGTCTCTCCAGTTGGACTCCCTGGCCGATCAGTTGTGTCGTCCTACTGAGCTGGTATGCCTGTATGCGCGGAATCTCTCAGGGGCAGATGACCCATCGATTTATTCACGTCACCCTCACGAGCTGGGGCACTGGTATGATCCGTACCATCCAGCTAGTGCTGGATCACCAATTGTGACGAATTCTATTGTTTCGACGCATCAAGCGATCGTACGTTCAGTCAGCATGGGTGTTCAGGCTCACAACAAAGCTCTCAGCTGCAAAGTCAACGCGTCCAAACCCCAGCTGGGCAGAACTCAGATCGTGACACTAATGTGGCCAGACTACGCTGCTGATGAGGACAATTGTTTCCCAATTATCTCGCCCTTTGACGGCCGGACCCATGAACTGTTGTCCCCACTTGCCCAGTTGGATCCTCTGGAAAATCCTCCACATCACCCATGCGAGCTAAAACACTCTTGCGAATTGCGCTACTCAGCCGTGGTTGGTTTGCCAATTACAACGGGTCCCTTCGGTTTGGTGGGTCAAGTGATTGAGCCAATGACATCGCCTGGTCAGCCAGCTGCCCTTTCGTGCTCCACGCTCGAGTCAGCGAGCTGGCATGTGTTGTATCGCCCGGTGGCAACATGCACACCAACCACGACATCTTTCATCGATTTGACGCACTGTGCAATCAAATTGGCATCATCGCATGACCAATCGGATTCTCCAGTTGCCCCTGAGCGTCGACTTCCCAGACTAGCACGCTTGAACGGACCATATCGTTCGACGGCAATCCATCCGCTAATCCCGATACACGTCATCGGTTCAGCATGTCAATCCTTTCAGGTTGAAGGGCAACTCATCATCCTCACAGGTGAACCCGCTCTCAACAAAGGTCCCAGCCAAGAAACCTACACGTCTGACCTCTGGCTGGGTGGAACTCAGATTGTGCATAAGAATGGGAACTCTCATTGGCTGGAATCGAGTAATTCCGAGAGAACCACAAAGATATCGATGCAGTTTGGCTACGACCCCAAGGTCAAGGGCGGACATCTCCCAATTACCTCGCCCATCGACGGTTGGAATCGTGAGCGGACGTCTCCTCCAGTTCAGTCGGACTCTCCAGCGGATCCCTTGCATTCCCCACTCGAGTTGGCGAGCTGGCTCGCGTTACATCGCCCAGCGGCAGCACATTCACTGACCACAGAGCAGTTCATTAATTCAGTGTGTCGTACCGTCGAGATTGCATCCTCTCACGAATGGTCAAATCCCCCCCCGCCGATCGCGAGGCATTCCCCCGGGATGATGCACCATGCGGCTGGGCCAGCTCCCTCATACGTCCGTTCGGACCCTCCAGCTGTAGTTACGTACTATTTTCTCCAGCAAGAGTGTCTGCCTGGTTCAGTGGTGGTTTGTACTTCGTTCGCAATGTCTACTGCCAGTTCAGCGCGACGCAGGGTCAATGTGTCCTTGCATGATCAGCTGGACCTTCCTGTTGGTCACCCTCCAGAGTCAGCATGCGTATTAGTATGTCACGTATTCGGACCCTTACCCTCGCTGGGTTTGTTGGACATCTTGGCAGCTTATTCACGACACCCTCACAAGCGGGGACACTCGCTCAGCCCGCACCGTTCAGTCAGTGCCGGGTCACTGATTGCGACTAATCCTACTGGTACGACATGCCGAATGATTACGCGCCCCACCTTTACAGGCACTCAGGCTCTCAACAAAGTTCCCATATGCAACATCTACATGACTGATCCCCGTCTGGGCGGATCTCGGGTTATGACGCTGATGTGGCTAGGTTACGTCCCTGATGTCAAGGGCGGCCATCTCACAATTGCCTCACCCATTGACGGCTGGGACTCGTGTTCGCATATGCAAAAGGAGCCAGAATATGAGTTGAAGCACACGGAGCCACTCCTGGCACAGCCACCCAGGTCGCGTCTTGGACTTCACAAATGGATACACACCTTGTCATTGTGCTTGGAAATGGTAAGCACGACGCGTGCACCGTGGCACCATCCACGTGAAATGTTGTACCCACCGGACTTGGTACATCTCGCCTCCAAGTCATCGTGACAGTCGTCTCCTGCATGTCTGCCTGCTTCTCTGCCGTCAGCATTGGTGTGGGAACGATTATACGCTAAAGGAAGAACCTCGCGTCCTCAAACTGAAGCCAAATTCACATTGGACAGGTTTCTCAACGGGTTATGTCATCCCATTTGTACCCTCGTTGAACCGTTATGCGAAGCAGTTCAGATCTTCGCTCAGACCACCACTGCAAATGGTTATATGTCGGGCCCGATCGATGATGTCAGTGGGAAGGACGTCCCCACCTGCAGGTTGTTCCCGATTACTCCAAGCCCGATGGATTACGCGCTGCATGGAGCTGTTCAGACCGGAGACCAATATCGTCTATGGGGCATTATAGACATAACAGTACGAGCCCGAGGGCCGGCAAGAAAACCTACGTCAAGACTCAGCCCAAAGGCTTGCAGTGGTGCCTATTTTTTCGCGCAAACCGCCTGTTTATCTCAGCGCCCTCAGGTACTCTTGTGCCCATAGCCAGGTCATCATATCAGCCGATTCCAGTTGTCCCGATGCACTCTCTGAAAGGGTCTCATCGTCCGATCAATCTGAAGAATCCCTTTCCCAGTCAGGTCACTCCTGCTACCCCAGCATCATACTGCGAGAAGACCGGCCCATCTCAACCGGCCTCCAAACTAGCACAATCCTCCCGTGTCCTTGCACACTCACCCACCGTTCGGTCGTTTGCATTCCTGCCAGGTGGGCCCGGTGTGTGTGAAAGGGCGTCAAGTCCCCGAGGCTCAGTGACTGGGTTCCCAGGAGGTCGGGACCACCGCCAGAGGATCACCCAAAAGGTTACTTGCACCAGACAAGTCATAGGCAAGGCCCCGTCTTCGTACTCGCTCAATACAGGGGATGAAAGATCCAACTTGGGATTAAGTGTATTAAACGGACTAACCTCTCCCTCCTCCTCCCCGAGCTACCGCTGAGACCCCTGGTCTCCACCTCAGTTCCCACATGGGTTGCTGTGCGAAGGGAGGGACACGCGGTCCCACGAACCCATTTACCAATGTTTAGTTCGAAACCTTCTGTCATAGTTCTTCTCCGTGCTCTCTCTCTCTCAGCGCCCATTCCTAACCCTGGAGGCAGCCATGGCCGATCGAAATTCGCTGGGTAGCGTCAGTGGTTTGGGATGGGAGTTAGACCTCGCAGTACAGTCAAGACGCATCAGGAGCTACCGATCACAATTCCCGACGGCCTGGGGACCCTCATACCTCTGGTCGTGGAGGGGAGCTGTCTGCACCTTCGACTGACACCAGCTCAGTGGGCTACCCTTTGTCTGCTGCCCAATTGCTATCGTTCTATCCGCATCCAGCATTAGCAGTCACGCAGTTCCCGTGCTTTCTTGCACCAAACATTCTTACATCGCAGTCTCAATTACGACCAGACTCATCGAGTCCCAAACCATCGGTGGTCACCTCCCGGTGGAGGCTAATCCCACCCCAAAATTGTACCATACACGTATCTTAGCGCTTAACCCAGTCGTTGCCATGTCCCTTGGGTCAGGCGGTCTTATACTAGAGTGCCTTTCTTCCGAACCCTATGAACCTTCCGCCCATGCCAGAGTCGACGCGCACCGAAAGGCTCGTCTGCGCGCTATTTTACGATCCTTACAGGACAGGATATCAACGAGGAAAGGAATGCGCACCATTACAGTATGAAAACCCGTACGCGCCCTCATTACATTCGCCACCAAAAGTGAGTGTTGTCAAATGCATCCATGAAAGCCAGCAAGGCTCCTCGTTCCGACGGCCTCTTCATGTCCTCCGAGTCGTTCGTCTGGAGGGGACCACCTGCTCTTGCTGACACAGTTTGCTACCTCTTAGCACTAGACTGTATCAACACGTCCCCACTGTCGCTCGGTAGCCTGGTCGAGACCTAGCGTCTGTGGACAGATGTGTGATAGCCGCATATCTGCATCCTCGCCCACACACACATCAAGGACTCTGTTGCTGACAATAGTTCGCAGGCATACAAACGTGGGTGTAGAGTGGAGAGGACCTCGTCTACCCGAGTTTCCAGTCAACCGGAGGGGTCGCGATCACCGCCAGCTGAAGAGGAGTTATTATGCCACGTAGTTCTCTGTGCACCCAACCGGGAAGCCAGGTCGTAGAGGTGTATCTCGAGTGTCGTTTACCCAACTTGCGGGACATTACGGCACCCTCGCAATGTCGGGGATGCCTTTGGCAGCCGCCTGGCTAGGGAAGTCACCCGCCTATGCCCTCTTTCCTCGCAGATCTCGTTGGGAGACATCCTGATGCGTTGTTAGGGCCACCAAATTGTCTCGATCTGGATGCCGGTTGGTTCGATTCACGGTTCTGAAACTCCCAATGCATAGCAACATCTGGCCGTCCTTCCCGATACACCCTGCATCTTGGTATGCAAGCCACTCACATTGCTACTTGCGCCGGTTTCGGTATGATTTCACTCAAGTTATTGGTCATCCCCGGCCCCACCAAGGAATGTTGTGGCCAATCCCTGTACCCACCTGGATCATTAAGCGACTGGCTGTAGCGAAGGGGTCCTTTGGTCGATGGGAAACCCAACCACAGTTCACACTCAAGCCAATGTGTTTATGTTGGTGTCACTATCGACGCTCTTGTGCTGGTTGACCACGATATGTCCTCTCTACCTGCTGAATATTCCCGGACATTCTCAGCACTCCTTGGCTAAACCTCTGCATACGCCGCATCCCATGATGCACTGCCCTCTCATCATAACATCTCATACATTCTCAGGGTATCTCCCAAGCACATGTACTCACTCCGCTCACTGCTACACTGCCTGCTGGAACAGCCGACCCCTGAGATATGATGTAGTCAACTGTCGATTAGCCTGGCGGACTTACCTATCTGTTATAATCCATGTCAATCCGATCCTGCATGGAAGTCCCACATGAGGAGCAGGATTTCTGGTCAAGCGGCCCTACAAACCATTTGCCTCCTTCAAAGCTAGGATGACCAGAGCACAATTTCACACAGGATCATACAGTCCGGGCTGACCAGTGGACTTGGGCTAGGTGCTGCCACTCAGTTGTGAGGCCTCACCTTAGAACCGGAACCATTTGGAGCCCAGCCCACACCCACAATGCTGTTTTCAAGTTCCCTTCCTCAGAGATGAAATTGACAAGGCTCCACTCGGTGACCTAGAGTATGGAGTACCAGTCTGGCATTACCACCTTGCCCCTTTGGACTTGCACACTGGCCCATAAGAGTCTGGGGGGTGATGTTATAGAGATGGACTAGATTCTTATGGTCCGTGACTGCAAGTAGGTAGGTTGTCTCTGCCCTCCATTATATTTCTCTGTCAAACTCCATGCCAAGCTTTCCCACTGGGTTTTGGTGCTGGCTGGGGGAATTGTTAAGTTTCAAGGGACTTCCCTTGACCATTGAGACTTTGATATTAGATAGAAACCAGTCATATGACATGTAAAGGCAAATGCCGAGGATGTTGTTCATTATCGAATACATAACCCTAAAACCTTGTACCGCAATTGTAACATCCTCACCATTGTGCCACCACTGTAAACTCAACCTGTAACCCTGGAACCATGTCCACCTCCCTATTCCTCCTCTCTATGACAAAACCGCAACGAGGTGGGCATTCCCACACCCAACCTCCTGCTGCCCACTCCCACCAGTCCACCGGGTGGTCGAGTGGTTACTCCCATCCAACCAGAAGTTCCCTATCAGGAACAGTAACCTATCCCACCTCCTCAGGAGAAGGATACGGTCCAGGCAGCTCCAGGATGCCTGGCCACGCACCCGCGGGTCCCACTTCCCACGGTCACCCACTACCGTGTACTGGTCCACCAGCCCGCTTTCCCCAACAACTCCCGCTACCGGTACGCTCCCATGAGCGCCAAGTCACCGATAGCCACCATCTGGGTGACTCCCTTTGGGAGTCCCAGTATCCCTCACTACCGGTACGCTCCATTGAGCGCCAAGTCACCGCTAGCCACACACTCCCAGCACACCCGCTACCGGCACGCTCCCAGGAGTGCCAAGTCCCTGTTAGCAGACAGCCAGGTGGCTCCCTCAAGGAGCCCACATCATACTCGCTACCGGTACGCTCCCAGGAGCGCCAAGTTACCGTTGGCCGACACACAGGTTACACTGCCAGACACTCATCCCATTCCGCTCTCCCTCCGATGGCTACGCAGCCACCTCCATTAGTGAGCCGAACGGCTCAGGTTGGGTTCCCCGGAACCCATTCCTGTAACACTGTTAGTATGCACACCCATGCTACACCCTATTGGGCCCTCAGTCCTGGGCGACACATCCGGGCGCTCTCAACCCCAGGTTGCTCCCTGACAGCAGAAGAAGGTTTCAACCTTACTGACCCTCCCTACCATGGTGATGCAAGAGCAATATGATGACTTGCTGGCCCGGTTCCAGGAATTCCAGGCCATCATGGAAAGCCAGGCCTGGAACTGGCCCACATACCCATGTCCATGCCTGCGCCCACCCTCAGACCACCTAAGGTCACCCCCCCACCCCCTTCTCAGGAGTCAGCGAGGACCTCGACTGCTTCAGGGCTGAGTGCAGAATTTACCTCTATGTCCGTGCGGCCGAATTCCCCAGCACCCTCTCCCAAGTCCTGTTTGTCCTCTCTTACAAGAAGGAAGGGACTGCAGGGGCATGGGTGACACAATGCACCAAGGCACTTTTGGCAGCAGGCTCCCCTACACTGTCAGGGCACACCCACCTGACCCTGCTCTGCCTGGCCCGGACCCACCCAATCCCATTGTCCTCCACCCACTACCTCTACCCTCCCCCTCCCCTGCTTCCTCCCTTCTCCCCTCTTTCTTCTTCTTCCTTTCTTCTTCCCTTCTTCCTTCTTCTTCCTTTCTTCTTCCCTTCTTTCTTCTTTCCTTTTCCTTCTCTTCTTTCTTCTTTCCTTTTCCTTCTCTTCTTTCATTACATGGACGACTTTCCTTATATCAATGTACCATTGACCCAACTGCGATGTAACATGCCCGGACCCGGGTGCACCGGGTGACTTCCCATGCACCAGGCACTCCTAGGATCTCTTGCAGAGATACCTGGATGGGCATGGCTGTGTCTGTAGATGACATGGTGCCTCCCACATGGCCTCAACTGCATGTATATAAACATAGCCTAAGTGGGAACTGAGAAGTAGCCTTCTTCTCACATTTCCCACTTCAGCCTGAGTGGCCAGGGACGTCTGTCTGTATCGGGCCCGCTGCCACACATGCCTGTGTCACACCCTACTGGGCCCTCTGTCAGGGCAATAGCCCCAAACCCCGAGTCACATGTAAATTAGATACACATAGTCATGTGGGCAAGCGGGAACCTCCAGGCAACCGCTTACACACCACCGTAAAATACACTATCTTGTATCACTTACGGCCTTGTGTGCTGAGCAACCCTAAGACCTCACACTTTTTTAAGTGCATGAGGTGTGTTTTACAACACAACCCACAACTACACAATCTTAACATCTGACTCGGAAGCGCCTATGGCGCCTAAACATGCCCTTGCGGGGCAAGGTCGCATCTGCAGCGACACTAAAAAGAAACAAGCGGTTTATAAAGAAACCGCAATCTCCCATCAAGGGAGATTCAAACCAAAAGCCGTCATCAGACGGTGACGAGGATCAACATGATCTGGCATTAGCAACCACTTCAGGGCTGGTCCCTGAAGGTTCTAGAAACTTACGTGGAGTAAGTGTGGGGCGAAATACCCCCAGAACTCCACAACATACCGATCTAACCCAAGCTGGGGAAGATCCATCACCTCCTCATGAGGTGATCGACTTGCGCGAAAAACGCGTAAGCACCGAACGATCAGCCCAAAAAGCTGATCGGATAGAGTCGCAGGAAACTCCAGGGCCCCACTATCCCCTGGAGTCCCCCC